TTGCAGGTGGGCGGCTCAGTGCTGCATCTACCAGTGCAATACAGTGCTAGGTCAGTGGAAGGTCACCACAGCATATTGCGGCATCAGACAGAAACACATCAAACTAATGGCACTTGTCAGTGTGATTCCTGTAGCCAAAGACAACATGCCAATTAAATGTCTTCATAGGAGGCCCTCTAATAACTCTGCAGAGAAATTTCACGGCCAGTACAACTTACAGCAACCTAGAAGATACCAAGCAATAGCCTGGTGATGACAGATCTCAGGAGTAGAGGAACAGAGAAGTTGCTTAAAAGCATTTTTACACTGACTTTCAAGGAGCATCTTCTGAGCTGTAATTGTGGGACAAAGCCATGGAGCACATTCCACTTACAGATAGATCAACAGACAAGGCATGTTCTTATCAACTGCACCTTAGCTACAAAATTGTCATCATTAGTTCCCCCATAATTTATAAATTTGATTTGACTTTTGTATTAGTTGTTTAGTCAACTGAGGGTGGGCATGGAGGTACTCCTCTGACAGGCTGTGTGTGGGGATGACAGAACACTGGAGACTCAGTGATGTGAAACTCATGAGAAGTGTTCAGAAAAAGTCTACCATACACTTACGCAATATATTACCAAACTACAGTTTAAGAGTTAAATATTTTGGTTTTTTTTTAAGAACATTGAAATATCACACATTATCACAACTTTGAAGAGACTTGTAAGTATAGTATATCAGGACACTGGCAGAAAAACATCTTCTACTCTGTTTAGCTCCACTTCAACCTATTTTGACCAAATAAAGCTAACTAACCAGCATATAAAGTCAATTATTTTCTACTGAATAGAATTTATCTTATTAATTACCCTGGCATGTCCAACAGAGTATTCAAGAAGTGTGAAGACATTCTTAAAAATTGACTCTAAAAATGTTGTTTATATGTATTTATACAGAGTTCAGTGAGAGTCTGAAAGTTGTTGGGTTTGGTTTCTTTTTCTGGAGAGTGATATGGGAATTGCCTTTCTTTTTGTCCTTTTCCTTTATAAATATTAGAAATGCATTGACAACTCTCTCTGCTTTTGCAAAGCCCAACAGTATGTATATGACATGAATTATAAGATATTAACACATTATATAAGAAGGTGAGAGTGACAAACCTTTAACAGGTGCTGTCATTAATTTCATTTAGTTGGCCATTAAAGCTAGAAAGATGTTGATAAAAGTTTCCCGGAGTCTGCTGAAAAAAAAATTAATCCTGGCCTGCTGTACACAGTCTGCCTATTTAATGAAAGGCATGTTATACAGTTAATTTAAGGCTCATTTATAATGACATAGTGTTTGCCACAAAATTTAGAGATGCAAGTTAAATACCAGCATTTTTAAATCAATAACCTCATCTACTTAAAATTCAAAAAGAAAATTAATTTAATCACATACAATATAAATGAATTTAATCAAACTCAGTCTCTTCATTTCATATTTCTGAAGATGCAGAGCAATCTTTAGGAGCTAAATTGCTCTCCTAAATAGTGAATAATCCCAACTGTACTAGCTGTACCTTGATTCCTCCTATAAAGGACCTGTGTTTCATATTCCTATACATGGGTGGATCTCCACACTAGAGTATCACCTGCAGGATCAGTCTGTATGTTGTTCCTTATCTATAAATTTTACACAAAACATTACATATTAATGTATGCTACCATTTTTTTATATCATACACACAAGTGCTGCCACTCTTCTAGCAGGGTAGGAAACAATACCCTAGCAGACATAGCTATACTAAACTAGCAAACAAAACACTGAAGAAAACCAAGAGCAGAAACATGTTTCCATGGAATCTGCATACAGCCCACAAAAAAAAAATTACACTTCCTATGTGAAGAATGGATCCATTAGGAAGATATTCAGATCTTGATATGAACAATTAAGGATAAGTTAGATCTTGCATATCCTATGATCTTCAGCATTTAGTCTTACCTCACACTACTTATCCAAACCACTCACCTCATGCCCTTTTGTCCTGAGAAGGAATATTGGTAGTTCACCTCATGTCATGATGCTATAAACATTCTCCAAGCATTACAGACCATAGGTTACAAAAACATTCAATTTCACATAGTGAAATTAATGGAATTTCAGTCATTACATGAGACAACTGGCATCAATGGCTTCCACAACTGGACAAAGATGGATCACTTTACGTTGCAGCCTTATGCAACTGCACATGGAATTGCTCAACTCATTTCCTTGATTTATGTTGTTTAGCAAGTGAAACCTAGATCTTGTGCAGAAAATAATGTTCCATTTTATGTTCACACTTCTGTTCATTGAAATAGATATCATTATTAGATGTGGGATTTTACACTCTTCAGCTTCACACAGCAATTCACAAATTTTAACAGGCATAGCTGAACAGACAGCTACAGTTTTGATTTTAAACATTGGTGTTCTTAGTAGCAGCGTATTTCTGTAAGGCTAGCAACATATTTCTGTAAGGCTAGCAACATATTTCTGTAAGACTGGCTGGACTTCTTTCAAAGACTCAGCAGATGTAACCATTATTTAGCCAGGGCTTTTTATTTGTATATGAACATTAGAGGTTAAATCAGGCTAACATTACACTTCTTTTCTAATGATTCTAAAAGTTAGTGATGCAAAACTCCCCTTCTAAAAAGTCAGCAAGATAATAAGATAGGCAAGACAGATGAGATACAAATAGAAAAAGACGGGAATATGCAAGAAATTAAGAAATGAAATGTTCATATTTATAAAAATTTAGACATATTTCAAATTCTTAATATGAATAAGAGATTCATATTGTCCCTTTCCTCTGGTTCTCAAAAACACCACCTTCTACTGTGCAGACTGATTCTCTGCATGTCCTTTACATAAGTTCCTCTGGTATAAGCTCTACACTGGAGATGGTAACAAAACTTCAATTATATTTAATATTTTCTTGCTAATGTTTTGTTTGTTTGTTTTGGTGTCTTTTTTGCAGGCTTCAGCTCCGACCTGCCTAGGCTTGTTAGCTGAGACATGGCTAAACTGCCTCCAGGGACAGCTCAAGTCTGAAAGCATGTCAGCTACTTTCTCTCAACCAAAGCTCACAAACTCTCACAGGTTTCTCTCTCACTCCTTGTGATGCTCAGCTTTGGCACCTCCACACTGTATTGCCATACTGGCTGTGTTTAAGGGACTGTAAGGGAAGATGAAAGCACAGTTTGCTCTGAGCTGACCTCCAAGACCCCACATGCAGCCCCTGTGTGATGTCTGGGCCTGGCCACCCTATCATACGCCTCCATTTTGGCTCCTTGAGGACTGCTTAGCCCCAGCTTTGCACAATGCCCAGACTGCTACCTTCTACACAGCCTTGGTGCTGGGGGCCCACTGCAGACACAGCACAAAATCATTCTCTATGTAGTGCAAAATGCACCATTTCATGAGCAACAAACATTTCTGACAGTTCTCAACAGCAGGTTCTCCACCCATGTACCCTATGTTCATCCTTTCCCAGCCCTGTTCATGCTCTCCAGTGGGTACCAGAGAGTGCAACCAGGGAAGGCCAGCAGTGCCTTGCAGCATGCTGCCACACAAACAGCCTTTTCCAGTTCCCTGAGCACAGCCTCTCCATGTCTTCCCAAAGAGATAACATGCGAATTCACAGTTCTCTCTTCCAGTCTGGCTAACATCCATGCTTTTTTACTTCTTTCAGACGTGTCTAATCAGGGAAGCATCAGCACAGCTCCAGGATTCCAGAATGATGATCCCCTTTCCCTCTGCACCTCCTCCACACCCCAATCCACTCCCTCCATGCCCTGCCCTTCTCTCCACAGCTTAAACTGAAGGACATTGACACATTTTTCTCCAACAAGAAAAACTAATCAGTATGTAGAACTGGGGGGGGGGGGGGGGGGAATAGAAACATTGAAGTAATGGCATTTCAGAAATACTCTGAACACTGTCACATTCCCAGAAGGAATCTGGCCAGGGCAGGAGATTTCAGACTGCATTAGAAAGGCTGTACGTAGAGCAGCCCTGCAGTTACTGATGCAAACACCCTCCCACAATACGGTTTCGGTCCCGTCCTCAGCCTAGACCTGGGGGTACCGGAACACCTGAGGGAGACGCCCCGTGTACAAGTGCGGGGCAGGAGCCCTCCCTGCCCAGGCGATGGAAAGGCCGGCACCGGGTTACGGCGGGGCCCAGCCCTAGTGCTCCGTTCCGAAGTCCCACTCCTGAACCGCCGCGCCCACCCCGCCGGAAGCCAGGCAGCGCCCCGCTTCCCTGGCAGACAATGACAGAGCGAGACCGACCCCGGGCTAGAGCACGGCTGCAGCCTCTTCTCGGCCGTCTTTCCGTGTCAGCGCCGCCGGCCCGCGGGTGACAGGAGGCCGTACCGCACCGCGGTGGCCCCTTCTCCCTCCACCACCCAAGGACCCGAGACGGGAGACGACGGTCGAGCTTCCGCGGAGCACTCCCGTGGGCTGCGTGTCCCCTCCGGGGTAGCTCCCGCCGGAGGCGCTGCGGCCGCCCCCGTGCTGTCTCTGGGGACGAGCTGTCAGAGAGCGCGGCCGGGCCGGGCCGGGTCGGGGCTCCCCGGGCGGTCGGTCAGGCAGGACGGGTCGGAGAACCCTCGCCCGCCGTCAAAGCCACGGCTCCCGCCGCCCCTCACCTCAGGGTGGGTCCCACGCAGGCTGTGTCAGTGCTCTCGATCTCCTGCAGGATCCGATCATGCTCTGGGAGACTCTCCGCCATCTTGGATGGGAGGGACCCGGCGGCCGCGCCGCTGCGGGAAGCGGCGGGGAGGGACCGAGGGCGGAGGCGACCGCGAACCTGGCGGGGGCCAGCGGGAGCAGCCGCGGAGGCGGCTCTGGCCGGGGTGAGGAGGGAGGGGAAGGAGCGGGCAAGGAGGAGCAGGTCGTACCGAGCCTCGCCTTCCCGGTTTGCTCCAGCTCGCCGGTGTCCTGCGGCCCTTGTCAGGGTGAGAGCTGAGCCGGGAGCCCGGCAGAGCTCCTCCGTCCCCTGGGCATCTCTGGGCCTTACTGTCTTGTGGAGGCCGCGGGCAGCTACCCCTGCCTGGAGCCACCCGCGGTGAGCCACTGAGAGCCCTGTGACAGAAGAGAGAGACCCAAAATCCGACCCCGCTCCCTACTGTGCTGTGGAAGGACCAAATGTCCTTTCCGCACCGCGCTGCAGAGATGCCTTGAAGGGTTTTAGGGCCACAACCGGCCTTTTATTTTGGGCTAGTTCTGGTTTGTTTCTTGGGGTGGGTTGTTTGTTTTTCACTTTGTTTTGTTTTTCTTTTAGCTGCTCCTGCTCTCTTCCACCGCGGCCCCTCTAGCCACCGGCCCCTGCCGCGAAAGCGATAGAAATTTGAGGTCAGAGTAAAACTAGACCAGCCAAAAACTGCACCTTTTTGTTCATCAGCTTTCTGTATTTCATTAGAAACTGGCATATTTTTCCCTAGTGCCCTCGAGTGTATGCACAGCAAAGCTTCATTTTTCAATGAAGGAGGAGTAGCCCATTTTCTATCTAAATTATACACTCTGTGGTTTCTGGCCAAAGATGAGCTAGTCCTTGGGTTTTGCATGCTCAGGAGACAGGATACACCTGCTTTCTGGGCAAAGTTATCTGCGTACAAGTGGGAAGCCAACAAAAAGAAATAGGCCTGAAGTGCAAAACTTCAGGGTGGTATGTGGCTACTTTTCCAGTGAGGAACTCACAGCAGTTTACAACTGTGAATGCATTAAAGTCTAGATACCGGCCAGTTAGAACTGTGTTTGGCACCCTTCTAATTACTGTAATCAAACTTGTCTTCTCTCCTGCCCTGGTGCAGCTACACCTGGACGTTGGTTAATAAATGGCACCAAAGACTGTGCACATCTTGTCTGTGCTTGTGGCTTTATCATATTCAGTGTTGATTCAGATGAATTTATTGATGACTTGTATTAAATCAACAAGGACTTTTCCAAAGTGCATGCTGCAGAAAGAAAAATCCTGCAGGCTACCAGTGCAATAGTATTTCATTAAAGAAATCATTCAGCTGCAGTAACAATCTTCCCACATTCCCTTTTTCTCCTCCTCACCAAATACTGAAGTAATAGATTGACACATTTATTTTTCAGAGTAAATTAAACTTTCTTTAGCCTGATAGTCACTGCAACCTGATGCCTACAGTGCCAGGCAGGCTATTTTTAGAACCCTTCCACAGACACTGACAATATGCTTGGACATACAACATCATAATCTTTTACTTTTTTTGTAGGGATGAGTATACGGAGGAAACTTTTTTTCATTTGCACTTTCACAATTAAACAGCTTCCATAAACTGCAAATGAAAAAAAATATTAAATATTCAGATATTTAGGAATATCAACAATGAAACCTTAAGTTGTTGTATCTTTAGTGATTTTTAAAAAATAATATTAAATATAAATATATTAATTAAAATTAAAATAATAAAACCATCAAACTAAGAACGCTGCTACACAAAAAAGCAAATTTCCCTGTGTTTTCATGTTTAAGAGTAATTTCTTTCTTCACAGAGAAGCTGCAGCCAGCCTTCAGTAACAGATAGCTTTGTCCTAATGAAAAGAAAGAGCTCAGTAGGTGACTTTGGTTTGTATTTTTCCATTTAGGGCCAAGCATACTGAAATTAAATTCAACTTTCCTGTAGATTTCAGGGTCAGGAAAACAAAGTTTCTAATATAATGGACTGACTGAAAGAACATCTATAGAATGGAACAAATCCATCACAAACAATGTAATATTATCTAAAAGATGCATACCTGAGGGTGGTTCCAAGAGGCAGCTCAAAGGACTGGATCTCAGCAAGGGCATTATCATATATCTGGTCTTTGTTTTCTTCTAGGTAAAGTTCTGACAGATTTGACCTGCTTTTTGTTGCCATAGCTTAGCATAAAACTAGTCTAACTTTAGGAGAGGACTGTATTGTGATTATTATCATTCACTAAATGACTCTGTAACCAGGCATGAGAAAACAGGTCCTGATCTAACCTCGTGACTCCTGAGGACTTTGTGTCCAAGAATGGTGCACAGCTGCTGTTTTCCTTTCACTGCTGGTAACATTTGCCTCGTATGCAGTACCCAGCCTGCACAGTCTTTTTTGTCTATGCATCTAATTTATTTATGTTAACACGAAATTTACTGCCAAAGTAATATTTTTACTTCCTTGAAATATCAGTAATACATATTAAGCCTGAATTTCAGTCAGCTTAAAAGCACATTAAAGTCACTTCAACCATTAGACATCAATGCTCAATTTCTCTGTTAAGTTTTATGAGATTAAAAATAATGTTTTAAATATTGTATTTTTCCCTTTGCTGTATAAAAAGCCTGCACACACAAGAAATGAGCTTGGTGTATGAAGCAGGTTTATGGACCTTCTAAAGCAGACTGGAAAAGGAGAGAAACTTTTATGTTCTCATCTTTTTCCTTTTCAAAATTAGTAGATGGTACTGAAAATAACAAAGTGCAAAAAAATGTTCTGGAATAACTGTGGGGGTTATGTGAGTTTGCAATAAGCGAAACTGTTACTACTTCATTACCTATCTGGAAGAAAAAGAAAATGGGTAAACTACAAATGCTGAGAGTGGTGTGGCTATCGAGTCATTGTCATTACCATGTTGGCAAAGAAAATAAGTCAGACAACTGCCACCAGTTAATTTCAGGCAGTCATTTGAAACAAGAGACTGGAGTTCTAGATCTTTTGATTTAAACAACTTTTTAGAAGCCTAATTAAATATTATGTGTCATAGTCAAACTTACTGTATTTGGTTATTTTGCATATTTCAAAGGTTTTAATCAATAATTGGCTTCTATCTCAGTACTGCTTCTGTCAAAATTGATGATTCTTGACACTCATGGTGTGGTCAACAGTTAAATGCAGGAAAAGAGAAATTAGTCATTTCTGACCAGGGTGATATATTGTTTATTCACTTCTCCATACCCAGCAGGAACACTGAGGAGATGAGTCCACATCAGTCATGGTGGGAAAGAGCTTTAAAGACTACAGTGAGTTACACATATGTACAAATTTGTAACATGTTCCCTTGAACAAGCTGCTTTAATCATCTGTTTATTTCTAAATCAAAATTAGCAGTTGTTTTGCTAGCATTAATATCCAACGCATTTCCAGCCTTCTTGTTCTAGACAGAAATGGGAGCCTTTTTTCCACCTTTCACAAGAAATGGGAGCCTGTGATTGACCCATCCAGCCACTGGATGTCACACAAATGCAGACGAAAGGATATCTTAGCTACTCATCCTAATTTTACAGACACCTAGTTCAGTACTATTTTATAAATTATGAGGTGACGCTATACAAGTAAACTGAAAAAATTATTACACTGAATAAACTGTAACTTAAGCTTTTTCATATGATAGCTGAAAGTACATCTGCTGACATTGTGGCAGAGCAGAGGCAGGCCAGGTAAATGGGAGACACCTTGGACATCTACACCCAGCTGTCAAACACTGTGGCTTGCAAGAAAAGTAGGATTCAGCAATAGGAGCATGATGCTTTATACAGAGTGCATTTGTGAATGTTTTTATGTGATTCTAAATGAGTTTGATACTTACAGAAACTTTGGTTACAATTTCCTCTTCCTTCTTTCCCAGAAACTCACACAGAAGCTTTCTTTAGGAAGAAAAGAACCAAAATAAACAGTACTCTAAATGTGTAGTGTAAATGTTGTTGTAGATATCATAGCTACCTGGAAATAAATATGTTTAATAGCAAAGCAATACAATGTAAAAAGAAGCAAACAAACACAAAAGTAAATGGCCAAGAAACAGGCAGGTGTTACAGTCTGTTCATTTGTGGAAGTGGGTGTTGAGGTACCTTGGTTCTATGTTCAGGGTTAGACCAAATTACACCAGGCCTGACTCCTTGGCTCTGTAGAGTTATGTACAGTACACTGGACCTGCTGTAAAACCATGACATGTGGAGAAGGATCTAACGTATAGAGGTGGATCTGTAGCTGACCCCAGATCTGTGAGCAGGAGTCTGTTAGCACCTGCCAAAAGCCCTTTCTGCTGCAGATGATCCTGCTTCTCCCTCATGCTGTCTGTCCAATTTGAACTCCTGCTCTCCATTTGTGTCTTCTCCACCCCACCTCTTCCATCCCGGTGCAGATTGGACATGCCAGAGGTCTAAATCTTTCAGTCATACTTGAGCTTTTCCCACTGAGTTCAGGGCCTCTCCCAAAAGGCTTCAGGGAGTAGCCTTGTTCAAGGAAATAAAACCTTTTTGCAAAAAGACAAAAGGACAAATTCAGTATTGTGACATGACACAAGCCGATGCATTCTGCAGCTTCTGGCAAGTAGACTACCAGAAAAGACAGTGTTAAGTTTAATTTAAGTTTAATTTTTTTTTTTTTTAATTTATGGTATTCCCCACGCTGAAAAGGAAAGTAGGAATCATCAATTTCTGAGGCATCATACTTGTACTAGATGGAATTTAGTTTCTCAGGTAAGAAGCCTGAGAAACTATTCATCTGCTAGAAGTCCCTGAGAGAAAAAGGGAAGAAACATTCTGTGCTTATTAAATTCTTGCTGTTTCTGTGAAGGAGGTATTCCATTGACTGGACAGGCAGAAACCTCCACGCCTAGGAGCTGTAAAGAGAGCTGCTGTCATCTTTCCAATCGTCCTGAGATTTTCCTTTGTAAAAATATGCCAAAGCACCTACTTTTTACTGAAAGTGTAAAATCTATTCACAACTCTGTATAGACAAGAGGGGAAATTGAAGCAAATATCAACAAGATTGTGAAGCAGGATGCAGAGGTTTATCTAGAGCAAAACCACTTTTGCCATGTCTTTTCTTCCTTTCCGTCCCTAATTCCTACTCTTCACCCATGTCAACGGGATATCAGAAGGCCAAGAACTGCTGGTTTAAATCTAGCCTGCCAGTGTTAATGCTTTAAAGACACATTTTACCCACATGACAATTGCAAAGAGAGTAACATGTGCTGTAGTATAGACTCGTCCCTACTGAGTATGTATTTCCAGCGTAGATTACTTTTTCTTTTAAATTACCAATGCAAGATTAACAGCATCAAATCATCAGAGGTTTGTTTAATTTTATTTCCCAGTTGGACTGGAATCCATTTTGAATGATTCATGGAAAAGAAGGAAGGGGGAAAACGTCCTCCCTCAAGTGGAATTACTACAGATAATTTTCACATGCAATGCCATCCATAACAAATTACTTCACTGGCCATTGCCCAGATATCTCCTCTTTACATCCCTCCACAAAGACAACAATGGCATTAGTCATTTCTCTGGCATCCCCTGCTCTGGTGCTGCCTCCTTTCCTGGGCTCATCCCCAAACTGGATCCTTGCAAACCAGCTCATTCTCCACAGAACCTGTGCCAGCTGCTCTTATTCCTCTTCTGTCTGCTTCTTTTCTGGTGGCCAGACCCATTTCTGCCTGCCTCTCAGATGAAGCATGGTGGCAACAACCCTGTCAAATGGTTCCTTGGAGGCACAGGCAGATAGGGAGCTGCTGAAATTACCACTGCTGTCTTCTGCTTTGGTTCAGATGTGCTTTGAGAAATCTTATTTCGTCTGTAACCTGAATAGCCACCTGAGCTTCCTGATGCATGCTGCCATCAGGGACTTACCAGGAGGAAGAAGGAAACTAACTTGTTTCTCACTCCTTTCTCTACACACACCACCCCCCCACCCCCACCCCCCAATATCACTAATCATCAGCATGCACTCACCTGTACCTCACCATCAACAGTACAGGTGCATCTAGCTCAGCCCGGCTCATATAATCAGAACAAAATGATTTTTCCTCAAATATAACATTGAAAGTTTGGGATGGGAAGCTCAGACTAATACAGTGCTCAAGGCTATGCTACCCATATAGCAAGAGTAGTTATGCAGGAACAGGTAACTCAGTGTAACCTATGCAGTAATAACCTACGTACAACATAGGCTGAACTAAATGGAGTACTTAGAGAGTATCAGCTTGATCTGGCAACAACACACCAAAGACAGCTATCTTAGATTTATAAAAAGGGACTTCTGCTACCTTTTTAGGCCTCTTCATTTATTATATACATAAAAAAGCATTATAGAATTATAGAATAGTTAGGGTTGGAAAGGACCTTAACATCATCTAGTTCCAATCCCCCTGCCATGGGCAGGCACACCTCACACTAAACCATCTCACCCAAGGCTCTGTCCAGCCTGGTCTTGAACACCGCCACAGATGAAGCATCCACAATTTCCCTGGGCAACCCATTCCAGTGCCTCACCACCATAACAGGAAAGAATTTCTTCATTATATCCAATCTAAACTTCCCCTGTTTAAGTTTTAACCCATTACCCCTTGTCCTATCACTACAGTCCCTAATGAATAGTCCATCCCCAGCATCCTTATAGCCCCTCTTCAGTTACTGGAAGGCTGCTATGAGGTCTCCATGCAGCCTTCTCTTCTCCAGGCTGAACAGCCCCAACTTTCTCAGCCTGTCTTCATAAGGGAGGTGCTCCAGTCCCTGATCATCCTGCTGGTCACGCTCCTTTTGATGCAGCCCAGGATATGGTTGGCTTTCTGGGCTGCAAGCACACACTGAAGCCAGCCCATGTTCATTTTCTCATCACCCAGCACTCCCAAGTCCTTCTCCGCAGGGCTGCTCTGAATCTCTTCTCTGCCCAACCTGTAGCTGTGCCTAGGATTGCTCCAACCCAGGTGTAGGACCTTGCAGTTGGCATGGTTAAACTTCATAAGGTTGGCATCAGCCCACCTCAGAAGTGTGTCAAGGTCCCTCTGGATGACATCCCTTCCCTCCAGCATATCAACCGAACCACGCAGCTTGGTGTCATCTCAGCAAACTTGCTGAGGGCGCACTCAATCCCACTGTCCATGTTACTGACAAAGATCTTGAACAAGACTGGTCCCAACACCAGTCCCTGAGGGACACCACTCATTACTGGTCTCCAGCTGGACATTAAGCCATTGACCACAACTCTTTGTGTGCGGCCATCCAGCCAGTTCTTTATCCACTGAGTGGTCCATCCATCAAATTGATGTCTCTCCAATTTAGAGACAAGGATGTTATGCGGGACAGTGTCAAACACTTTGCACAAGTCCAGGTAGACGACATCAACTGCTCTACCCCTGTCCATCAGTTCCACAGCCCCATCATAGAAGGCCACCAAATTGGTCAGGCAGGATTTCCCCTTAGTGAAGCCATGATGGCTGTCACCAAGCACCTTGTTGATTTTCATGTGCCTTAGCATGCCTTCCAGGAGAATCTGCTGCAAGATTTTGCCAGGCACAGAGATGAGACTGACTGGTCTGTAATTCCCTGGGTCATCCATTTTCCCCTTCTTGAAAATGGGGGTTATATTTCCCTTTTTCCAGTCGTCAGGAACTTCACCTGACTGCCATGATTTCTCAAATATGATGGCCAGTGGCTTAGCAACTTCTTTTGCCAGCTCCTTCAGGACCCACGGATGGATTTCATCAGGTCCCATGGGCTTGTGTACCTTCAGGTTCTTAAGATGGTCTCGAACCAGATCCTCTCCTACAGTGGGCCCAAGGTCTTCATTCTCACAGTCGCTGCATCTGCCTTCCAAGACTTAGGTGGTGTGGTCAGAGCATTTACCAGTGAAGACTGAGGCAAGGAAGTCATTAAGAACCTCAGCCTTCTCCAAATCCAAAAGTCTATTATTAGACTTTATTAGAAAAAGTTATTTATCTCAGTTTTTGAGATAAACCCATATAATTGTGTTTGAAATGGGAACTAAAAAATAACAATAGGAACAAATAGCAACTAAAAAAAATAACAATAGGAACTAAAAAATAACAATAGGAACTAAAAAATAACAATAATAATAAAAGATATAGTGGTTACCTACATCTAATGCTTTGAACTTTACAATCTACAGTTTTTTTTCAGTTAAATACACCTTGGACACATTAATAAATTTGATATTAACCTTTAGAAACGATAAGATAACCTTTCCCAGATGAGGTGGAAGGGCTCTGTGTACAGTTCACAGCTATTTACTGAAAATGAATATGTTTTTTAATTGTCCCAAATGTAATTCATTATGACAAGGGTTTGCAGGACAAACTGTATTTTAGGTTATTGCATATAAAATTATTATTTGCATTTAAAAATAATATTTACTGTCAGGTGTTATATACACACATATGCACCGTAAGCCAAGGGAAATATATTAGGAATTGGTTTAGTGCTCAAATCACTGCCATGACTAAAAATCTGAATTTTCCAGAACTAAATTGCTGCAATCTCTCTACAGTGCCTTACTACTAAAACATCTCTTTAGTGAGCATCTGATAAAATACATTGTTCTAAGGTTGCTGACTTTCCCAGTCACTCCACAGCACCAGCAGGGAGATGACATTGTTTTTGCAAAGTGTTCAAGTGAATTATGCTTCCTGAATTGTAGTCAAAATCTGAAATGCATTGCTTTTTTGGTTTAATTACATGGGATTTAAGGATTGTACAGTGTATACAGCAATCTTCTCCAAAAACTGATGAAATAACATTCTACACCTTATTTTTATAATAAAGTTTTCAAAACATCTTACATCTCTCCCATCAGGAGGGCAGCGTGTAACTAACTGCTTTTGACATTTCAATGACATCTTACAAGTGCCTAAAAATATCAGGAGAGACCCTCAGCTGGTGCTGATGTTA